AAGACACTGAGATTTTTTAATGTAGCAGTTATATTTATGATCTTTCCCTTTTCTTCAGAACAGAGGGCACATTTCTTTGCATTTCAGAATCACTGAAATTTCAGAATCACTGAATCAATTTCAGAATCGTCAGAACACTGCATGGCTGAAGTCTAATTTCTTTGATATTCATCATATTAACCCATCAGATCTAGAGCAGATCAAACCAGCAATTCCTGAGCTGTGTAAAATTGTGCATCTCTAGTAAGAGAGAAGGCAGCATGCTGTTCTGTGAGAGCACGGGGCTGCAGCTTTCAGCAGAAAGCTGCAGTGGTCAAAATGAGCAGCTTGGTTCCTTGTAAATTGCTTTGCAGGACCCCCATCTCATTTCTCTCCCTTGTTCCCTTCCTATATGGCAGGATATACACTTTGTGGTTAGTACGTACTGGACCTCATCCTGATGCCCTGACAGCTCTTGAAATTTGCCACTGAATTCAGCCCCAGCAGATTCAGTCTCAGTATAGATGTGTGACAATTAGATTAGATATGGTATATTGGGCCAACTGCTTTGCTGATGAGAATGGGCATAGCTCCAGTGTTTTCAGTGGAGGTTCACCCATTTCTACCAGCTGAGAATCAGTCCTGAACAGCTTACTGTTGGATGTAATTCCAGAATCACTGAAAGGCAATTTTAGAAGCTCCTGTAGAAATGTTGCTGCCTATTGCTTTGATAATGAGTCATGACCCATCTGTTGGATGAAAAGTAACTTTGCTGAAGGCAATGATGTTATAGGGAAATAGCTGAGAAATTAAATGAGAGCTTGTTTTGTCTGTGTTAAGCAAGCTATTATGAGAGTTATTGGGCCATTTAACCAGATTTGCAGTAATATCAAAATTATACTAAGGGATTTTTTTTTCCTGCAAATGCAGAAAATCATTTTTTGTAGTGGTTTCATCTGCATCTCATAAGTGGCACTAAAAATGTGGCAGATCTCTCTGTAGTCACCACCTCTTTTTACTTGATAGAGTGACCAGAGAACAACATTCCAGCTGAAGTGGCTTCTTGCTGAAAAGAGGGAAAAACAACCAAGAGCCAGTTATGCCAGAACCACCCTCCCCCTTTCAGATTTCCATGCGAGAGAAGAGCCTTTTTCTTCACCTGATAATTTGAGCTTTGAAGTAAATGAAGGGGAAAAATCTTTGGAGCAGTCACTGGCAAAAAAGCCATTATCTGCATTGTGATCTGCTTACATCTGGGAAAGAAATGAGTGTCCAGTAATTAAGTGATTGGGTTGGGGTTTTTACCATTTGCTTGTTTTTCTTAAGATAAACGTCTCCTAAGTGTTTTAAGGCATCTGACTTCCACATAGATACTGACTGAAAGGAGATGGGGGAAATCTTTGGAGCAGTCACTGGCAAAAAAGCCATTATCTGCATTGTGATCTGCTTACATCTGGGAAAGAAATGAGTGTCCAGTAATTAAGTGATTGGGTTGGGGTTTTTACCATTTGCTTGTTTTTCTTAAGATAAACGTCTCCTAAGTGTTTTAAGGCATCTGACTTCCACATAGATACTGACTGAAAGGAGATGGGGGGGGAGAGGGGGGGAGGGAAACGGTAGGTTTAGTTTGGTTTGCTCTGAGAAAGTCTTGTAGACAGTAGTCATTCTAACAGTAGCAAGGGGCTGTAGTTCCTTGCATCTGTATGAAAACATAGTGGGAAAGCATGTTGCCAAATATCTGCCTTCAAAGATGCACAAAAAAAAATCCTTTTTGGATAGTTCTAAAAATATTATCTTGGGGTTTTTGAAGCAGCTACATTTGTTTTTCCTTTTCAGGAAGAGAGATATAACTTGTTCCTGGAGAGCACATGAGCCTTCTCTTTTGTGCTAGTAATAATTTTTTAACCTAGAACTAAGAAAGAGCTGTCACATCTCATTCTGTGACTGACGTATTGTTTCTGAAACAGACCTTTCTATGAGTTTCAGAATCCTTTTCTCTGTTTTCTGTCTTACTCAACATATTCCCCTTAAAGTTGTATCCTTCAAAGTTATAGTCTGTTGAGAGCTAATTGATTCTTTCTCCTGGAGCTTGGGAAAGAAAGCAGGAGAAAGACAATCCTAGTAATTGTGTCTGGTGCATTAGACTCGACTGGTCTCCCATCTATTATTACACTTTGCCCTTTATCAGTATAGAACTAATCTCTTCCATTCTTTTGTGTATTCTGTTTTATATTGTAATGTTATGTTTCCTTTGCTGAAGCAGAAAGTAAAGATGAATGTTTTAAAGCATCCACATATGTAGGGAGCATGTTAGTCTTAGCTCAATTACACTGCAGAAGGTTTAATTACATGGGGGATATAATATTATATGCTAACCTGCAATCTCTGTGAGGATGCATACATCATAAGAATGCTAACACAGTTCAGGAGCTAAATTGTATTTTTCCCTCCACCATCACCTTTAAATACAGTTCCATGATTTAATATAGTTATAAACAAAACATTCCCCTTGTTATAGCTCTTTCAGCTCATGGCCTCAGAAGCACTTATGTCTAGTGGCAAAGTAATTTACAGCTTATTATGACAGTCAAAAGGCCCTGTTGGTCCCCATTATTACACCATAGTGCTGGATCAGTATGGTCTTGTGTTTCTGTGATTATGGCCCTGCAAAGGACATGCAAAGCTCCTGTGTTTTGGCTTTTCCCCAAAGCAGAAGGGTGCTGCTGGGGCCTGGCAACAGAGAACTGGGCCCAAGCCCTTGGCTTTGGGAGCATGTGTCATTGACCACTTAAGAGGCAAAACAGGAGATTAGATTCTACCTTTAACAGAGGCAGTAAATCTATTTTACTGGAGCAGTTCAGGTTTCTCTAGGGGCTGTTGAAGGTCTGGAAGAGTATGATGTCTAACTTGCTCCTCTTGAGCAGGCCCAACTGAGCTGCTCATGTGGCCTTTCCTCTTTTGGTTTCCTTCGTCTTCTTTAGATCCAGTGAGTTAATCAGGTCTGGCCTTTCTGCCAGATGAATGCCTCATGTCATTTGTGGCTGACTGGCAACCTGTCTGTGACTATCATCAACCGTGTCTCTGTCTTCCTATCTTAATGATCACTGAGTTGTGTTGGCTGGAGCGTGTGTGTGTGCAGAGCTGGACCTTGTGCATGCCAATCCTGGTGCAGGCAGTGGCTGTTACATAAGGTTTGCTACCCATCCTTGATTCAGTTTCTCAGTAAGAACAATTCCTTCCTATCTCGCAGGCACTGGCTATCACTTCGAAAATTTTTTCAGAAAGGCAAAGTGCTATATACACTGTTAGCCACCCCTAATAGGACCACTACCTTCTCATGTTTCTAATGTCTGCTGCATCTTCAGTTGGATCTGAAGAGCATTAGCAAAAAAATGCTGTTTTCTCATTTTCCATAGGAAGGGTGTTAAAAGAAGTGTTCAGAATTGATAATGGACATTTACAAAAGAAAAAATCTTAGCTTCCCTCAAAAGTAATCCAGGAAAAATGGCTGAATTTCTTGTATTGTTTTAGAGTTAGGGATGGAAAAAAATGGAAAGAAAACTTGCCTTTCACTTGGTTTTGTATTATACTGTAAACAGTCCTCACAATTTCTCTGTGCCTCTTTTACCTTCTTATTCTTTTCCAATTCTGCATTTGATGTCTGTCTTCCCTCCCTGCTCTCCCTCTCCTTTCCCCTATATACAGTAATTTGCAAGGGTTACATTTTCTCTCTGTGGCAAACTAGAGGAAGTCTTTCCCTTAAGTTCTAATTACTGTAGTCCAGCTAAGGAATCCCTTTTTGGAATGGTGAGGATTTGTTTGTAGCAAGTTCTAAGGTACTCATTGCATTTGTTCTCCTTTTTCAGTGCAGTCTGATTTTGACTCATGCTCTGTAGTTCAAAGCCCCAGAAAAATATTTTAGGATCAGATCCATGCCTGGCACTCCTCCACAGTATCAAGGTCAGGGATGTCTCCTCGGAAAGCTGCAGGGAGCTGTATTCACAGGAGGATACAGCATAGGCTATATAGCATATTGTTATATACTCTCTATTATTATGTAGGGCAGTGCCTGAAGAGATTGTGTATTTCTCAAAGCTTAAAGATGCATAAGAAGATCATGTTAAAGCAGTTGATACTCCATTTCAGATGCAGTATTAAGGTTGCTTAGCTTCTGACACCTAAGTGCCTGCATTAGGAATCTAGGTTCCCATCAGCTTCCTAGTCAGCAGAAAAAGAGACCCCCTCCTGGGAATGATGGCCAGCATGAGTCTAGCCTGGATTTTCTAAATTGCCCCCTGGAAGTGACTCTTTCTCCACTGAGCATATAAAGAGGACTAACTTCCTAAATTGGGGTTTTAAGCTATACTGTATGAAGACTCCCTTTAGAAGCCATACGTTTTATTTGACTAGTGTCCTGTGTATTAATAACTTCTGGTCAAAGAGAAGCTATAATTATAGTTGTACATATGTGTATGCAGTTAAAAAAAAGTGATAACATGGATAAAATGATGAAAAAAGATACCAAACAAGTTCTGTGTCAA